ACGAGGCCCAGCCTGTATTTTTGCGAGTGTGTGTGTGTCCCTTTGACGAGCCGCGGGTTGCCGCATCTGATCAATGAGTGGGAGAGAGATAGACGATAAAACGGCGGCGTTTCAAAGCCGAGTGTGCTCCTTTGACGTGCCGCATCTGAGCAATGAGTGCGAGAGAGAGAAAGGACAAAACAGCGTATGGACCAATCCAAGTTGAGCCTCAGTCCCCGTTTACGGCCGTTCTTTCCAGGGCTCATGGTCGGAAAGCACTCCGGTGTTTTTTCGGGGCACCCGGATTCGGGATGGCCACTACCACCGCGGACCAAATTACGAGGCCCAGCCTTTTTTTGTGTGTGTGTGAGGGTGTGTGTGTCTTGATTATTTTCAGATTTTCGAGTTGGCGTGTTTTCGTTCTCACTGATTCAATCGCTATGTTTCAAAATTACCGGTCGTAATTTATCTTTTCCAGGAGAAAGTGGCCAACTTTATGATTTGGAATACACACCAAATTTTTGGCTCACTGAGAGCAAAAATCACGCCGTCCGCAACTTGTCCGTCGATCGGTCCAGCTCCAGCTAGTAAGCGGCAAGTCAAAACGCCTTCAATTTTTTTAATGCAATACGGACATCCGTCGAGGTTGAATAGTTGTATCAAGGTGCCGTTGTCAACACGTCACAGGCACAGACCGCTGCAGACGAATACCAGTTGTGCGAAAAGGGTCGAAACGCCGATAGCTTTTTACATATTGCCGCCCAAATTGGAAGACCACGTATCTCTGTTTGTGACGTTGCAGACTTCCTGTCGAACACTATTTTCCTATTGGAAAACTAGTCGATGTATCACGAAAAACCTTCTTGTTTCTGACAATTTTCGAGGATTTAAAAATTCAGAAAAAAAATTAAAATTCAGAAACTAAAATTTCAGAAGGCTCGAATAAATTTCACGATATTTGATTGAAATTTTATTTTGAAATAAATGTCACAATATTTGAAATTTGTTAATATTTATCGGTATACTAAATTCAACCCTCGGAAGTCCGGAAAGCGTTTCAGATGGTCTTCCTGATGTAATGCGGCAGTATTATGCTACCCCACTAAGATGCTTTTCACGGAAGGAGGACAAAAGGGAGTTTAGAGTGAAATTTAGCCCCAACGTAATCTCTGAACCAAATGAAAACATTTGCAACGCGTGAATGTTTTAGGCTTCTGTGAAAAATGTCAAAATCGAGAATCACTGTTTCGGGGCGTTTCTTAGCTTCCTGGATGCATCCTCAAGACTTTCAATAAATTTCGTACGATGTCACGAAATTTCAAGAAATTTCATCCGTGAAATTTTACGCGAATAAATTTCATGAAATTTTCCATCTCCGGGGCTCCACTGAACTCGCGGAGCAATTTAAACCAGAAAATCTGAATTAGCGGATCATTTCCAAGAGGGCCAGCTCGGTTTCAGCCCGGTCGGAGAACTATAGATTTTTACCCCGAAATTTGTATCCGCGTCGACTTTTCTCTATTTTGGACGAGGAAACAAATTTCGAGATTAGTGTCGAAACCTCCTATGTTTGAAGCGTAGAATCAATGGGCCTGTTGCATGCAAGAGATACAGCCGTGCGAATAGACTTTGTAGTGGTTAAATGACACGAAAATTACGATGCTCACATTAAAAAAGTCTGAAATACACTCCTTATTGCGCAATTTGCGTTGTCAGGTACGCGCTTTTTCAAATTTCCCGCGTCTGGGGGCAGTTTTCTAACGGAAACAATTAACGGCAACTCGCGGCTATTTCCGATCAACTAAAACTGACAACATAACCTAAAAATCGGAGCTCGTGATATCGTGAAATGAAATGTAGAAGGATTGCGTTGGATATTTAAAAGTTGATCGATTTGGTTACTGCATAAAGTGTATATGGACCGCTATAAGAGATCACGTTGGGTTTGTAAACAAACTGAAGGAAAAAATAACAACAACAACAACGACTCAACATCTTCCGGAAATCACCGAGCCCGCCGTTTGCTCGTTTCCGGTGATTAGAAAACTGCCCCCAGACGCGGGAAATTTGAAAAAGCGCGTTCCTGACAACGCAAATTACGCAGTAAGGAGTGTATTTCAGACTTTTTTAATGTGACCATCGTAATTTTCGTGTCATTTAACCGCTATACAGTCTGTTCGCGCGGCTGTATCTCTTGCATGCAACAGGCCCATTGCGCATGAGCATGGTCCCGCAGCTCACTGGAGCTTTCTGAGCCTAGAAACGGTCAAAAACGCCGTTTTGCAAAAGTTCAGCGCTCGTGTGGACACGCGGGCTCGCCGAGCTTTTTGGGCCAGAAAATCGGACTCAGCGGGTCATTTTCGAGGGGACTAGCTTGGTTTCAGCCTGAAATTTCAGCCCATGTTACCCTCACGCACAGCTAAACTTTGTGCTCAGGAAAACAGGAAATTAGAGTGCTTGCGATTTTTGCGTAGGCAACACAGACATCTCAAGAACACGAATAGTTGCATTCAGACCGAGGCGTTGAAAATTGAATTTTTTCTCCTTTAATTTTTTCTTTTTGTGATGAGAAGGCGTGTCAAGTCGATGCATTTACATATCGTTGTTGTTGCACGAATTCAGAACGGTCCGAGCGGTTGCGCAGAGGGAAGAATTTCATGAGCGCCGACGCCCGCGGTGCACTATGGTCCAAAACTCAAGAATAGGAAGAAATAAGTCGGATAATAACTGAAAGATCGCGAAAGTTTCGTGACAGATGTTTGTTGAGTCGCTAATTTCGAATGTACTGTCAAATTGCCTACATTTTAACACCCTGACCTCTAAATTGTGGACAAGTTTATGGCACGCTGCGGTGCGGCGCGCTGCCAGCTCGAAAAGCGTACTCCGTACTGACTCCTACAAACCCAAGTGGATACTTCAAGCATTGCGCAATGCGTGAAGTCGCCCTTTAGGTTTGCAGGCGCTAGTGCGCGCTGCCAACACGCCGCGCCGCGGCTCTCCCGGCGGACGGGTGGGGACCGATTTCTTGCGGGGATAGCTCCCTGGCGGAGAAACTTGCGTGTCGTGTAAATTTTTTTTTTTGTTTTTCAATTTTCGACTTATAAAATTACACACTGGTCGTGTGAAGTAATTAGTGAACTCTCAACGGCAGATGAAGTGTAATAAATGAAAGGCGGGTCGTGCGCTATGCGCGTTGCGGACGGCGCAGGGTGGCTCATGAAGTTCTCCTCAGTGCTCTGTCGCGGTTTAAGTACTTACTCAAATTGAGAAAAGAAAATTAATAATAAACATAAAAATAAAATTGAGACTATTTATGCGGCGGCGATTACTCACTTGACCCATTTCGAGATCTTCTTTTACTTTTGTTGGAAATATTAAAAAATCGTTTCTTATCAATTATAATTAATCCTCCATATGGGGCAGCGTTACAAAATAGTGCAATATGCGGGACTGTTTTCGGAGAATCACGACCCATACTGATCGTCGCTGTTTTGTGATAAGTTTTCTGGTATTTAAAAAATACCTGACTTTCCGGATACTTAGAAAATAAAAATCCCCACCTTTTCCCGGGCTTCTCATTGTATTTTTTCTTGGGGAGGGGGGAGTTTTTTGATAAAGATTCTTATTAAAAAAAATTCTAACAGCCGAGCGCATATTGATGAATTTTCGTCAGTCCCTATTTGCGGGATTGGCACCCGCAATTCCGCAAAGCCTTCGGGGAAATGTTTCTCGCAGATGATTTGAGGAAATTTGCACCATTTTGCAACGCTGCTACGATGATACACGACTCATCCGGATTTCTAGGATTTCATGGTAGCTATGTTTGTAAACGCAACATGTAAAACCCTTGGGAACTAACAACCACAGCCATACGTTGCGTTCAAGAAAACCAGAGCGCCTGCAATTTTTTGCGTATGCAACATTGACACCCTGAGGACACGAATAGTTGCATCCAGACGTAGGCACTGAAAAACCAGGGGAGCTTTCAATTTTTCTTCCCAAGTAGTAAAATGAAAATACTTTATGAAAAAAAAAAAAAAATTAATGAAAAAAATTTGGAAAAAAAAAGAAAAAGTAGCTAGCATATGGGAAATAGACAGAAAATTTAAAGTGAGTGTCACTATTTACCATAGAAAATAGGTATATATCCTGTCTACAAAATAGATCTTTTTTCCGTCTAGAAAATTGATTTGATTTCCTTGAGAAAAAATATCCAAAAACCTGACGGAAAATAGAGAAACATTGGATATTTTCTTTATCTTTTTAATAGAAATTTAAAATTCAGAAAACAAATAGAAAAAAGACAGAATGTAGACAACAAAATTGTATGTTTTCCTTGTATTTAGTGTCCAGAACATGGACAGAAAATAAAAGTTTTTAATAATTTTCTTACTTCTATTTGATACATCTATTTTCTTTCCATTTTATTTTTCTGTCTAGAAAATAGACAATTTCTAAATTAGTGCTAGATAGAAAATAGAACCCCATGCTACTTGGGTTGTGATGAGAAAATGCGTTACTCATTGCAGTCATAAATCGTTGTTGTTGCACGAAAATATGGCGCTGGGGGTGTTTAATAAATTGGAAAAAAAGAAGAAATGAATAACTAAATTAGTGAAACATTTATTCTGGACTTACTACACGCCAAATGCCCAGGAGCAAGACGCAAGCAAAGTTCTTTCATTCATAGACCACTGCCGAAACGGGTTTCATATGGCTTTTAGGATTAATGAATTTGATTTTTTAACTAAAAAGTAGGCAATATAATGCTTTTTGTGAGCTCATTTAAGATTACTGTTGACGTTTCAGTGAATATCTTCACACAATTTCAAGATAGAACGTTCGGTAGAGTTTTCTACTATGAAAATAAAATATGAGGAAATGGGTCAATGTATAATACAGTTAGATAATACCAACTCAGAACCGTTAAATCAAAATTCAGTTTATCCTTGAAACAAAATTAGAATATTGACGAGTTGGAAGCAAAAGAATGGATGGGAGAAATCATGCAACAAAAAATATTTCAATTTCAGAAGATTTTAATGAACTAAGGACATAATTACAATCGAATAATACAAAAATAAAATTTTGACAGGTCAAGTTCCGAACAGATATCAAGCAAATGAATTGGAGTAGTGGTAAAAAATAAAATTGGCAAGGATCTCAGGTTGATGCGTTTTGTTCCTTAACACAGTATAACTTATACTCAAAGGAGAGGGATTTTGAGAAAAATTCATGAGATAAGACAGTTCTTTTCAATGAATGAGACTAAAAGACTGCAGATTATACTTTTGTTTAAAAAGGTAACGATATTTATTATTTCCCAACTCCTGATTACTGTTATGAGTACATAAAATGTGAAATTCTTAAAGAGTACATTTTACTACCAAGCATCTTAAGTTCAATTTGAGAAAACGCCATTGAGTAGGTAGGTAAAAAACTTGACATCGTTCTACTGTTTTCCTGTGAGTAGTTTTTCCTCATTAGGAAAACTCTCTTCGAGGGAGCTTCAAAATTGAATTTGCTAGGTGACATGATGCATGATAGAACGTGACAATTATAATTACTCAGGATTTCTTAAGCGACTATGGTACAGTTCGTGACAAAAGGTCAGAATAAATTTGACAGCTCTTATCAAATAATGCTAGTCAAAAAACGTAGTATAACAAAAGAAGCGACTGAACTGAAAGAAGAGTTGTTATTTCTATGAGGACTTAAAATCAATACAAATTTCATAACACAAAGAACATTTTACAATATTGAATCATCTCTCTTAAAAGTCCCTTTGACAGGAGTCATGATGTTGTTGCAGAGCTATGCATCTTTTAACAGCTAGCAAAGTAAAGCTGACCCCGCAGTAAGAAATAACTTGTTGTTTTACAGACCTCATTCTAGAAAGAGCTTAAACTCAGTGACTTTTCCTCATTGTCAGAGCCGTAAATGTTCAATTTATTTAAAAATCTGCTTCTCACCTTAGATTTATTAAAATAAAAACTTAAAGTCTTCAAAATTTTCACAAACATAAATTCATGATTTAGCGTGGTATTGAATATCAAGAAATGAAGAATGCTGAGCAGATGGGGTTCCGATATCGATGGCGGAAGTCCAAAATGACGTAAATCTATTCGAGAGTTTCAACATTTCCGCTCCTATTTTATTTTTTTGAAAAGGAACAAGCAAACTTAACAGTTTCAAAAGCAGAATTTTCTGCAGACAGAAAAGGAGAATCAAGAAAGTTTACAAGGAATTACGCTGACTAGTTTTCTGAATAAAAAGTAATTATGACAAGAGGTCTGCAGCTTTGCAACGGAGAAAAGTGGTTTTACACATCGGCCATTGATATACTCTATCACCAATTTGACTGGGACATCAACTTCCATAAGAAAATAATTGAATGAAATGTGAATTTTTCTTTCTACCCTTTGGAAAAAATCTTTGATCAATTGTCTGTATGAGTGACAATTAATCATGATGACATAAGAACTAGATTTGAAAAACATCAAACAGATGAAATTACAATTTTTCTGGGCGAAGAAATAATCACTTCACAATATTTTGGTTACAACAAGCAATGATTTGTACAAACTGAGCTTCTAAAAATGAGTATTCATTAGGAAAACTAAGAAACAAAATCAAGGAATTTCGACACAAATTCTAAACAGCTTCTAATTCTTTGATGACGTAGCTTAACATTGTACTTGAACCCAATTATTGTAGTAAATTAGGGGAAAAACCCCTCCCACTTTTTCTTCGTGAGTTGATGAGTCAAGTAAAAAATTGCAAGTGAATACAGATACAAAAAAGCAATTTGAGATAACGCTGATTTTAGAGTTGATGTTTTCACATAATAATCTTGATTCATGTTCTTTCCGAACTCTGTAAAACTTAAAGATTAAAAGTATTTCACAGAGAAGTTTTGTTAACATTCTATACTTTCCTGACTTACTGTCACTCATAGAATAATAAATATGATAGGTGTTTTTGTAAAACTTATTTTCCTACAGCTCATTGTTTGGGGTCAAGATTTCCTTCAGGTATAAACCTCCTACTTAGGTATGACTGCTAGGTTGAAGGATCTCAATAAATATATTTAAAAATGTACAGTTTGAAACTTTTAGAGAGGTTTGTGTCAAGAGGTAGCGTGAATCTTGGGAAATTCATTATAATGGCAAATTTTACAATTATAGGCTCCAGTCCGATTTCAAAAATTTAACAGAAGTCATCAAAGAATTAAAAATGCCAACTTAGACCCGCATCATCCGATTCAACTTCAGCAAACTACTAGCTATTCACCTTTCAAATTCTCTGTCTGTTTTATTTGCAAAAAATGTTAAAATTATCACCCTGTAAAACAGAAGCACCAATCTAATTAAACGTAATTTGCAAACAAAAAATTTTTTTTTTCTTCTCGCATTACATTGACTCTATTTTCTTCACAAAAAGAAACTAAGGAAGAAGAAAAAATATCTGTAAAAAAATAAGTGAAATTGTGATTTCAGGAATATGAGAAAAGGGTAAAAAATTGTATCACAGACAAATCATACACATAATTTCCCGTATACTACTAACAGAGATTTGCCTGGGAAGCAACACACACCAAATTTTGTATGCAAGATAGCACCTTGTTCCAACTTAAAGTTTAGGGCATTACGATAGGAGGAGGGTTTCATCTCCCTTTGACTAGGAGTGACGGAAAGAATTTTGAAAAAAGCAAACTGAGCAAATAAAAAATTAAATAAAAACAACAATGGTACAGTTTCATAAAGGAAAAGAAAAAATAAGACAAAATCATATGAATTGATAAAAATAGGTAAAAATAAAAAAACATAAGAGCCATGTACTAGTATGTAGTAAAATATTTAAGTACGCCTGCGCTATTAAAAATGTAAACCTTGGTTGATAGTCTGATACAATTTTAAAAGTTACTTTTGCATAACTTGACCAATTTTAATTCCAATCATTTGATCTTAACATCAGTTTCAAACTTGAAATATATGTTGAAAATTCTTCTCTTCAAGCAGACACAGGGTGTCTAGTAAAGCTTTTGCTTTTAAGGGGCCATCCCTAAATTACGTAACAATCTGGGGAGGAGGGGAGGCCAAGGAGAACATTACATTATTTGGTTTTTAAGTGTTAAAAGATAGGGTCCTCCATCACAAAAGCGTTACAAGGGGGGGGGGGTGAAATGCCAAAAAAAGGGTTACGTAATTTAGGAACAAATAGGGTCCCTGACCCTTGAATTTTAAACATAAATTCTCCCGGACTTTCTTAGTTTTCTCGTTAAACCCGAGTTTCCACAATTTCCTCATTTCTTGATTCCCTGACTTTGAAATTTTTGAATTCCTAGATTTTCCCTAACCTTTGAACAAAACTTCTCCTTGGATTTTTTCCTGTTACTTATGCTGGCTTCTCGAAATGCTGATAGAAATATTCCCTGACTTCCTGGGTTTTCCAGGACGTCGGAAACCCTGCTAGACACCCTGGACACTGCCAGTTCATATGATTTAATAAGGTTTGGAATAGATTTTAGGATTTTAAGAGCACAAGCTTTAAATGAGGAACTTTCAGGTAAGATTATACCTGTTATTCTAGGTAAACTCTGTCAAGAGCCACATTCACTGTAGACAAACGAACAATCCTTCACAAACATAGAAATTTCATTTAAATCTCATCAAGGACTTAAATGTAGAAGAAAAAACTAGAATAAATGCAATATGAATATGATTGTAGCATGTGGAAGAACAAAAACCTATGTACATATTATCGGTGAAAATTTGAGGAATAGCAAGAGGGATAAAAAAATCTTTTGATACCCAGGCTGATACTTGCACTTGTACTCAACAAAGTACAGAACATTTACAATGTCATTCATTAAAAGCAATGACTGGATTGAGAAGAAAGGTGGTCGAACTGCTAAGGACCAATTTAATGTTTCTAAAGTAACTCGTGCTTGTAAAATCTTCAAACTTCGTGTAAAATAAATTCGTTTCAAACTCTCATTCTTACCATACTAACAACTGCAAACTAGATCATAAGGCCCTAATTACATTATTTTTCCCCGCTATTTTTAGCAGCAATGACGGATCCACAATGCATATAACAATGATAATTTATGTTTCAAGAAATTATACAAATATTTTTTGAAAAATACAATAATTCATGTTTGTCTTTGATGACAATTTGACTGGTGATTTCTGTTAGGATACAGACAGCCTGGTTTTTTTTGGGGGGGGGGAAGGGGGCTTTTTTTTACACCATGACAATTTTCAGGCTTTTTATAAACCATGACAATTTTTAGGCTTTTCTAAAAAAAGATAAAAATTGTTATCCTGATATAATTGTGGATTCTTACTAACAGCCTCCTGTTTTTCCAGGGAAGGTAATTGGACTCAAACTGCAGAGAAATAAATCTTTTACATTACAGAAACAACGGAAGGGGGAGGGGGGAGGGGTTGACAGTCCTAACAATAAAAACAAAATCTAATGAGAGACAGTAGAGTTGCAAAATAGTACACAGGATTCTAAGAAAATTGCAGAGGATTTGCATTTTGGTGTCTAGTGATTCTGAATTGAAATACACCAAAATTATTCACAGTTCCTCTGTAGAATGGCCTCCTTACGATACTCATCACTGAGAATGAACTTTGTTTACAACAATAATATTAATACTTTTTAAACTATTGAGGCAATGAAAACACTTACAATGAAATTTGAAAACAGAGGAAATGAATACCTTTCTATGCTTAAGTATTTTTTAACGTTTCTATAACTTTCTCCGTTGCAGTAGAAAAAAAGTATTATACAAGCCCAGAGACAACTTCTGAACAATTTATCGCTACACGGTTCTACATTATCAATACATGACCAGCACTGCCTGCAAGCAAGGCTTATCTAGGTGCCATACAATAGTAATGCAACATTGGGATTAATATAATATGATAAATCGTGAAAAGTTAGAGCAAGGTGTTGGAGCATCATGAAAGAAATAATGGTACTGCCTGAAAAACTGTTGTTGATTTTGGCTCTTGTTTCTGTGGAAGAATCTATTGCATGTTCTCCAGGCAGAAGTGAAAGTAAATTAGCAACGGACATTCTGGAAGAGAGATTTACAATACCAAGAGACTAGACACCCAGCTGCAGACCTCAGATGCAATTTTCGTGTGCTACTGTGACGAATGAGCAAAGGAAAACACAAAGTGGACTCCTAGTGAGAAAAAAGAGTTGGTTCAAATGAACTGAATTTAAATTACATTCTATTTCCGTCTAAGGAAAATAAAACACATAGCACTAGATACGCAGATCGCAGGAAACTTAAGAGATTTTGTACTGCCACCAAGCGAAAACAAGATCGAAGCTCCCCGAAGATTGGGAACTTAGAATGAAGAGGAAAAAGCATAGAGTGAAAAGAGTTTTAAGATTGACGTGTCTTAAGAAGCGCGAATTAGAGCGAATACTAAGAAAATAGTCGCACAGTTTGAGGTTGTGAAGGCTCTGTACTTTCCTGTGCAAAAGACGAGCCCCTATTAAACCTCAGCTTGGGAATTTCGAGTAGAAAGTGTAGGTCAGATCATAGTTTTTCAGGCTACAAAATTCAATCTCCTGTTGCGACCACTTCCCAACCTCCTTCATGTACTTCATTTCGCGAATGCTTCCAAGGGCGGCTGATTTCTGAAAAAAAGAAAGAAATAACATTATTATACGTCCAAATTAAGAGAGGACAATGCAACCATTGCAAAATTTAGGACAAATCTTGTATTCAAGGTTTTCCACGACAATGATTTTCATAAAGAACAGTGATCCTAGAGCATCTATTTGTTTTCTTTAAAACATTTTACGGCGCACTTCCTTCGATTGAATGTAAAAATAAATCTGAGTGTGAATTATCCTTTTTCTCTGAAACTGGGCGAATAAACCAATAATGAGAACAACTGACACAAAAATTGTTGAGGAGACTGAAGTTTAAGTCAGAGCCCACTATCAAAATTTACGAGGATTTATGCTATTCTCTTCCTGGTGAGTTAAAAATTAGAAAAAACTAAATAGCCAGCACTTTGGTTTTAGACAAATAAATGGAAAGTACATAGTTGACAAAAACTAGGGTGGAAAGGAAGAATTTATTTAGCTATCACTTCCTCTTTCGTACGGAGAAAGACAGAAGATCAATGTTCCCTAGTTAAAAGAAGCATTCTGATTTACACTAAACTGTATAGCATCTTATTGACTTGACCATAATTCCGTCTCGAGAAATTTGTTCACTTCTTGCTTGGTGTCCTTATAAGTTTGGGACCAAATCTTGCTTTTATGCTAAAAAAATAACACAAGAGGGAGAAAAAGGACTTTATTACAGGTTACATTTGTACTTACTTTGCTTGCAAATACAGTACAAACGAACTGAGCTGGTTGAAAAGTCTCAAGAACAAGAGCTATAATCTCATTGTACGAAGCTTGCTGCACGTTGGTCTCGAAACTGACATAAGAAAAATCTGGCTCTGGAGTGATGTGGATAGTCATGTAATAACCCTAAACATAAAATAGACAGATTTGATGAGAAATAAAGTGCATTTGAGAGTGATAATAACAATTGATACAGTTTTTCATGATGTGCCAATCATTGCATTTGTACAGAGCACAAAAATCTTTGCTCATGGTAGCTATCTAAAAGAGACCTAAAGAGGAGTAAGGGGTATTTGAACTGCATTTTGCAATTAGGAACTGCGATTTCAGGCTCAGTTTAGGAACAACATATGTACCAATAGTTTACATGTGTGCATATGTATTTTTACAGATGAGCTAGATATTGTTAATTCCCAATTGCAAAATGTGGTTGATCCCTCAACGTATTCCCTGCTGCTTGAATACCTGTGCTCCCAACTATAATTCACACCAAAAAAACAGAAAATGGACAAGGTATGAAGTTAAGCATTTGAACATATGTTTTCTGACAAAAGTTTCATGTAGAACACAAATTGCACAATGAAAATTGCTTAAATTAACTCAAACTGATTGCTATAAACGCACAGGTCGTATGTTGGACACAGTCTGTTGGAGTTTTTCGCAAACATGCTCTAAAAATTCAGATGAGCTTTTCCCTCTGTATTGAGATTTTCAGCTTCATGCTGAATTTTTAATGCATGCTGGCAAAAATCTCCAACATGCTGTCTTAAATTAACTCTAACTAAGATATTTAATGTTTCTTGTTGTGTGAATTCAAACCTCCTGCTTATGAAAACACAATAATCTATGTACGTCAAATCTCACACTAAACTTAACTATGACAATCTCTGCGATATGAAAATCTGGCAACCTCAACCATGACGCTTTGGCTCAGCTCTAAAAAATTGTTTCCACTGTGAGCAATACAGGGTGGGAAAAGAACAATGCCCAATTGAGAAGCCTGCCAAAACTGTTGGGAGGCGCGATTTGACTCACGTAGAGAATTGCGTTTCTTGTGACCCGGCAATTCAAAATTCCCGTAACCAATGTAAAATAAAAACATTAATATCTTAGTTAGGAGTTAATTTCAGTAATTTTCGATGCAAGAATTGTGTTCTTCATGAAATTCTACTGATGAAACATGTATCAGAAAGCTTAAATTCGGACCTTGTCTAGTGGTCCATTGTGATGGCTGAAAACTATTATCATTAGATGCTAGTGCTATTTCTGTGTTCCATTAATTAAACCTAATGCATAATTAGTTTTACAGTTGACCTTCAGATAGCACTCTTACAATTTGGCATCTTGGGTAAGACTTTCGGCAGAAAATTCTGGTCACCATTGATGTTTTGACTCAGGATAACCATAAAAAACAATAACTATTTGAAGGGCTTGTCTTTTTATTTGTTGAAATGAGGACTTTTGATGGGCTGAGAACAGTCCTAATGAATATTTCAACGAGGGAAAATGTGTTCTATGACAATGTGACGGAACAGTGTTCCTACTACCTATTTTTTATTATTCAAACCAGATTCTGAGTATGTGCATTTTCGCTTCTATACTTTTTTAGTGCATGTCCAATTGAAGGCTGAGCTTTTCTCAGTTCACGATTCAATTTTATAACAAAATGTACTAAATTCCACACACAAACTATTTTTTCGTAGGTGGAATCATTTTCCAAGCAAGGAAAATAAAATGTAAAATTTCCCTAGACTGAGGGCATTACTGATATGAAATAAAGTTTAAGCCAGCTTTGAAAATGTATCAACTTACATCTTTGGAAATTCCATTCATTGAATATCCACAGGGTTCGAACAGATACGCATCGATCTCCATATTTGGAATAATTTTATCAATTCCAGATTTCTGAAAAAATAAAAGGAAGAGGTAAATTATCAGTGCAGAACATCCTCTACACCTACGCCAGAAATCATATAATTCCAAGTTTCTACATTACTTGACCGTGAGTTTAAAGAAAAAACTTGATATAACTGAAAAGCAGCCATGCAGAAAAAGTTCAGGGTTTCATGACTCTTTTTAAGTAAATACATCAAATTTTTTCCTGTTTACGGCAAGTGCAGAAAATGTGTGTAGATCTGTGAGCTCATGAAGAAATTTTTCAATAAGAAGCTTTGTTTCTTTTTGAAGCAATAAATGAGGAAGGAAAAAAAGCGCAGTGAGTTTTTAAATTTTTTCACTTGGCGCATACCTAATTTTGACGTTTCTCAGCTAAGAGGGAATTTTGAGGCTGAAATTGTGACTAATTGGTTTTGCAAAGAACATTTTGCAGACTCCTGCTTCAATTACCAATGCGCCTGTTGCAAACTTTTGCTGGAGCAAAAATACAAGTTGTTTCAAATTGAAAATGCCTCAAAAATCACGATAGGCGCATTGGCAAAGTCTGTAATGCAATCTTAACTTCACAATCTGCGTAAGAAATTTGCGTTTTTTTGAGTTTCCCGCTTCAAAACGATACTACGGCACAGGTGAACATATTGTTAGAGGAGTCGCTCCATCGTCCGCAATATTCATCATGGCTGACTCTCCCGCAGTTCCGCGCGTAATTCGAGGAGAGTTCAAGGTCAATCAAGGCGGGCCAGGAAAATATGAACGTAAACACACTGATTGTTATCTGGTCTAATCCTGTTCAGGTGTTATCTCGTCCCATCACACGTGTTTTGGCAAATTGGCGCCGGCCATGATGAATATTGCCGACGATGGAAAGACTCCTCTAAAAAAATGTTCACCTGTGCCGTAGTATCATTTTTGAAGCGGGAAGCTCAAAAAACCGCAGATTTCTTACACAGATTGTGAAGTTATGCGTGCATTTCAGACTTTGCCAATGCGTTTATCGTGATTTTTGAGGCATTATCTTTAAGAAACAACTCTTAGTTTTGCTACAGCAAAAGTTTGCAATAGGCCCATTCATAAAATTTAGGTTCAAACTTTTTTCTAAAACCCGGATCAAGAGATCTCCTTTCCAAAAACATAGAAAATATGTACAAGGTTTTATCAGTGACTTGAGACTTGATTGAAAAAAAAGACAAGTTTAAAGTTAAGAAGTATTAGATGTAGCTCATTGGGTTATAGAAAGGAACAGGACTGTGGAAATGACGTAGAAATGCAAAAAAGAATGGTTAAGTAGCGATTTTGTGCTCTTTTGGCAGGATACAAATTCAAGCAGACTGATGTACATATCATTGATCCCAAAAACTGTGTATTTAGTGGAAAAAAAAACCCTGACATGGTACTGATCTTCACATGGTTTGTGCAAAGTTATCTTGCATCGAGGGCCTAAGAATTTCATAAAAAAATTGGAGGCAAGTATGAACGAGATCTTACTTCAGTTGCCTCAAGTGCTGAGGATGATGCTGACTTTGTAAAAATAGACATGATTTCTGGATCAAGATCCGTCATGAGGATCTCCAAAGTTTGGTCGCCGGCCACATCTTTGTTGAGTTTCTTCTTTGGGCTTAAACCAACAGGGTTCCCATTTATGTTGCTGTTGCTGCTTGAAAGTGGTTTTAAAGTGTACAGATACCACTGACAGCCGAAGTCATTTGTCCCCATAGTGTATGCGACCCCATCTGCAAAAAAAAACAGATTAGTATACAGATTTGGATTGTTGCACTTGCCAAATTTCGTAATTTCAATTGAACTTTCAGAAATTCTGTGAAGACAAAAATAGCCTCAGCAGCTAAATGTCAATGGACAGTAACTAACTAGCAAACTAACTTTCCAAATTTCCTTTAAAATTTCCTAAATGAAAATTTTCAAAACGTAAGGGTCTGATTGGAATCCTCAACTTGATTCTTTGCTGAAATTTGTCTCAAGACTCTAAAATGGGCCCTACTTGAACAGAGAGGACGAAAATAAAGAAAATTTTCACAAAATTTTCTGCCATTTTTTGAAAACCTTGGTGTGCCATTGATGTGTAAGCAATGTATCCTTAAAATCATGAGCGACTAGTGAATATATCCTGTGTGTCCAACTGTTTGGTGAGGTCTGCAGAGAAGTTAGCTGATCTGATTACATAGAATATCTCAACAAAGCACAAGTTCCACAATATGCAAGAGCTTTTCACTCACTTTTGAAGAGGGCATTCAAATACTTGACTTCTTGATCAAAACTGCGGTGAACACTCTTTTGCAACTCTGGGCGCTTGAAATTCTTGCGCGAATAGAATAAATCCTGTAAAAATTGAAAACAGAGAATCAAGATAAGAAGGAAAAATCACTTGATGCATTAGAGAGAACTTGTAAATAAGTCTCTCATTAAAACATGAAAATAAGATAATACTGAATCTTAATTCTCTCAATTTCAATAAGTTTTGAAACCAAACCAAACGATTAAGAATACAGTAGGTATAGACTGGGTACTTATTATTTTCACAGGAATTGTGATAATATTTAAAACTTTCACTTTACTTCTGAATACAGAGGTCAGTTTGATGAAACAAACTTAGTGAAAAAATTATACATTGAGGTAAAAAATTCACCATGATGAGATAGTAGGAATTAATAGAAGCCTAAGCATAACAGGTCAAGGATCTGATCGGGCCAAAGATCAACGCTGGTAGGCATGCGGATCAGTACAATTCATTTGCCCAATACCAGGCAGTACTTCTTCATGTAAGAATATTATTGAAATGGCAGTGCTTGTTTATAGGTCAACTCATTTACGAAATTAATGCTTAAAAATACTATCAATGAAAAATGATAAGCAAATTTGAATGACGAAGTAATATGATGGGAGATTTGTCAGATAAAAAGACTTACAAAGTATTAAAAAGAGGAATCATTTTCCTTAATTTTGGTTGCTGCCTCAGAACCGATTGAAGCAAAGTTGATTAGAAGTGGAGAAACTCTACATGTACCAAATTTGAGTTCTACAATAAACCATATAATTATGAAGGACTTTATTGAAGGATGAAATTAGGGGGTGCATATAAAATGATTTTCACTTTATATGAACACCTAGAATATTTTGAAAAATTTCCATTTTCAATGTGGTCTGGCTTTTCAACATTTCTTCATTTTTATATACCCTTATTTGCCATTTCCTCATATGATGGGAAGAAATATTCCGAACTTGCCCATAATCCACCTCAGAAATGTAAAAAAATGTGAGCCTTTGACGAACAAAGCACCGACTAGAGACCCTGTTTTGCCTAAGAGGACAATTAATCAGAGTAAAAAATGCTGACCTTTCATTTGATCTGATACCCTTGATGTAACATCATCAAGAAACCTTTGCAATCTTCACTTTACATAATATTCACAGCCATAGGTGCTGATCCCATTCAAGAGCTACAATTATCAATTAAAATTAGCAAACTCAGCAATAATAACTGCAAAATCTATCTTCTAAGAATAAGTCAGTAACCGGTCAAAGACATGGAAAAAGGCTCATTTTCACCCAAAACTACCTTGCGAGAAAGTTTTCCTTATCACTTCTATCAATTAGTGCCAATTTAAATCAGTAGCTGTGCCTAAGTATGGCAGCGTTTTCATTACTCTGCAAAATCTAGAATATTGTCCGTGTCGTTGGGGTCAGTACTAATTTTTGGAAAAATGCTGTTATGGCATTGATGTCTTGAGCTGATAAAGCAAAGGAGAAAATCATTCTACGAAACTCACCTCAACTGATGTGAATCCAGCATACTGCTCGACCAGCATTAACAATGATTTCAAGCACATCAACGGTGTGGTTGTTCCGCATGTTTTCAGGATGAACCGTCTTTTAGCAACGAACAGACTGCTCTCGCTAAAATGAATGTAAAAAGAAAATAATTAAACATTATAAATGACAGAAAGAATCACTGCTAAGTGTAATTGGAGCTTAAGATTCGTTTTGGCTTCTTAGGTCTTAAGTAAAATAAAGTCAGGAGGTCAAAATTCTATTGGATATTTATTACTTCTTTGAGCTTGATTTTTCTCACTCATCTTTTTTACAAATATTCTTTTAGTAATTTAAAAAAAAATGCAACAAAGCTAATAAAAATTTCACAAAAGGCTGCCATCTAGGTATACAAGAATAAACAACAAAAAATAATATAAAATAAAAATTTAAAAATGAAAATAATTTTTTAAGAAAATTTCGCAGAGTAAAAAAAAACTGTTCTTTCCCTCTTTCCTTCTTTAAGTGAATGAAGACACATGGAAAGTTTTATTAGCTTTTGAATATTAATACGTATCTACAAAATGCAGAGATAAATCAAATTATAGGGGCAGTTAAAATTATAGACCAGTAAAAATAAAGGCGATTTGAAAAGAGACAAACTAATGTTACACCATGCATCATTAGCAATTCAAAAACTTTACTTTAAAAAAAACTTGAATTGATATTCAATTTTGTATGACTCATTAATAAATTAAGACAATTTACCTGAGAACATACGCATCGATTTCATCGTTTGATGAAAAGCTGATGACACCACATCGCACTGTCTTCAACAGTCTTTCTAATTTTTCCCTGAAACAGAAAAAAAGGTTTGACTGATAAATATCTCAGTAAATTTTCACACAGTACTCGTGACGTTTAGAAACTCAACCATTTCCATTACTGGTAATCCCAAAACCTGACACTTAAGAAACTTACTCTACAATTTCACTGATTTTTGAAAAAAATCAGAGGAAAGATCAGTAAAAATTTCCGGTAGGCATGCCCAAAAACCGGACTACATTTTGGGACTGATATTTATCATTTAAAGTAGGTAATACCTATTTGCATGAAAAATCTGATCTGAGATCTGAGCTAGAAATAGTAGTTCTTTTATTGCAAAATTTAGTCCAAATGCCGTGTAAAAGTTCAATTCGCGAGGGGAAATTTTGCGGCGTTAAATGTAGTTAGTTACGTTCTTTTGTCTGATCACAACGATATACTTCAGCAAAAAGGCGCAAAAAATAATAGTCTATTGCAAAATGTAGTTCAACTAATACCACATATGATGGTTCTAAAATATAGCCTATGTATCTCTAAATAAAGTCCCCAAAAAATAGCGTTCAAAATTTTGCTTTGCCGGAAGCAGAAATGGACCGCGTTTAACAGAAAGGAAGCAAGCCACACCAGCTGTTGCCAAATTCAACCAGGTAATTTAATTTTTACGAGAGAACATTTGTGCGGATTCGGTTGAAAATTTTACGGAATTTGCTTCGTGCTGTGCTGAAATTCACTGAAATTTGCACAAAAATCCGCACAACTGTTTTTATGTGAAAAATTAAATCTCCCGTTTGCGAAGCTGATGTGGGTTGCTTCCTTTCAGTTTAACGCGGTCCAAATTTAACCAGAGGTGGTGGAACCGACCCTCAATATGCCGATTCAACCGACGAAATTCGGCCTCTGAACTGTTGCACACGGAGAAAAAAACTTCGTGCGTGGAGGACTCGAAGTTGAGGTCATATGGATCTCTGAAGTTTTCGGATCACGTATCTGAAAACTTGGGGTCCGGCTGCCGAAGTTCGGGTCACACATCTGAAGTACTCCGGTACATACCGAAGTGCCTCGATGTCTGATCCGAACTTCGGCAACTCAACTTCAAATTTTCGGATGCGTGATCAGAAAACTTCAGAGATCCATACGACCTTAACTTCGGGTTCCATGCACGAAGTTTTTTTCTCCCTGACATACGTCTTTTTTCAAGACTCCTGATGTACATGCCGCCCCCCCCGATTGCTCAACTTCGTCCATGACCACCCTCTCCCCAGTTTCCCGGACGGCTGGAAGCACCACGAACAGAAACTGCCGGTAACCGGTTGCCGCGTGATGAAAGTTTATCGTGTTTATTCGCGGAGATTAGAGGCCGCACTTTGGTTCCAGGAAATTAAAGCAACAAAGCCTAACCGCGCGGGATTTTATTTCTAGGCGTTCGGGCGCGACCAGAGTGGAAAATCGAACTAATTAGTTTTGCACTGTTTCGACGCGATAGCTTTCAAGAGCCGCGAGCGATTCGCGACACGTGTGGAGGCGTGAAGAAATCCTCGCAAATAGGAATAAACGAAACGAAAGGGGACGAAAAGGGATCGATGAACGGAGGGAGCTTGGAAAAAAAACAACTTTCAAAGTTTTCCGCCGGACCGTAAGTCGTTTTATGAAACATCTCCTGTGGCTAGATCCTCCGTCTGGGTGCGATCAATTAATCTGCGATAAATAGGCGTTGTATGGATGATCGATAATGGACCACTAGACAAGGTACGGATTTCAGCATTCTGATACATGTTTCTTAACCAAAATTTTACGTAGAACACGATGCGCACAACGAAAATTACCGATATCAACTCCTAACGAAGATATTCAATGATTCTTGGTGCGTAAATTCAAACCACCCGCTCATGAAAACTCAATGCTCTACGTGATTCACATCGTGCGCTAAACGTTATCATGAACGTTTTTGCGATAAAAAAATCTGGCAACCTCAATCTTGACGCTTTGGCTTAGCTATAGCAAATTACTCATAGTTTGAAAACACATGGTGTGAAACGAACATTACTCGATTGAGAAGCTTGCTGAAACCGTTGTAGTGCGCGATTTGACTCACGTAGAGCTTTGAGTTTCTTGTGAGCGGGCAGTTTAAATTCCTTGTAACCAATGTGAAATAAAAACGATAATAGCTTCGTATGGAGTTGGTTTCAGTAATTTTCGTTGCGCAAATCGTGTTTTACGTGGAATTTTGGTTAAGAAACATGTATCAGATTGCTTAAATTCGTGCCTTGTCTAGTGATCCATTGCATGTTATGTGCGCCTTGTCTGCACAGTCGATCCTTCGACTAGCAAGACGTCTTGCGAAGTTCCACCCGACCGCTGGAGAGGTTCCGTAAAAACAACGTACGGTCAATTGAAGAATGTACTTCAGAGGGTACGTTAACATCACCACTCTGTCGTGCTAAGAAAAAACGCCGTAGGAACATTCGCGAGTTGCCGAATTTCCTTCGATAAAATGTTTGATTTTGAGGAGCGTTATGAATATTTTTCCGATAAATTTTTCAAGAGCTTCAGGTAAAATTGCGAAAAAAATTATCTGAAAAAATGGGAGGAAAATATTCATAAATTTACTAGGAAATTCGCGTTTTATCAAAAGAGATTCGGCAACGCCTGAAGGTTCATACGGCGTTCTTCTTTAGGACGACAGCACTCAAGCACTGCCGTGATGAGGAGGAGGATGGTAAGTCCAGAGATGCAGAAAATGCTCGAGCGGCTGTTCTACCCGTGGCTGACATGCACTTAAAAAAAGGTTTCTTAAGATATTATTTTTACTTGAAGCGTCGTTTCTTGTCAAACAAATTTAGTATTTTTTTTTAGTTGAAGAAACGTTGTTTTTTTTATCGTTTTTTTAACTTAAACTTAACGATAGCAAAACGACGCTTCTTTAAATTCAAAAACGGATGGGAAAAAAATTGTTGACAAGAAACGATGCTTTCAGTCAAAATAATATCTCAAGAAAATATATGTATGTTTTTCAGTAAGTCACATGAAGAAATCCGTTTAAGCGCACGAGAAAATTTTTGGAGGAAAAGACGTTTCAATCTGGTACACTACATACTCCTGCTACTACTTTTTTTTCTCTCTTTCCTTCTACTTCAGTGAAAATGAGAGGACAATAAAAAACCCGTGAAAGTACAATAATTTTTTAAATTTTTTTTGGTACAATGCGCACATGTAACTTTTATGCGAGGTGAGGATATTTTCGAAACATAGATACTAAGGCAAAGATTGCGAAAAAACTTTACTCTGAAGAATTTCCCGCACCCCTGGTATGAGCGGAAAACCCGACGAGGAAAAGCCGTTGATTACAACTTGGGAGAATTTTGAAAGCAAGAATACCTACGTGTGATAAAAAATGTGAATCTTAAATAAAAAAGTGGACTGAGGAGGATGAAGTTGCGATCGGCTCATAAAAATTCTGAACTTTTTTAAAAAAAAATTGAAAACCCTTTTTTCCGACACGCGATTCTGTTTCTCAGCTTAACAGTAAAGTTGCGTTATGGGAAAATGCCGTAAAAACATCTCGGGATGTTGCCGAATGTCTCCACACAAATCAAACATTTTCTCACAATTAGAGATCGGAATCGCTAAAAATTGAAAAACTCAACCAATCCTTACGTTATTTAATTTAACGAACAAATAAATGACGTAGGGAAAATTTGAGTTTTCTCATTTTTAGCAATTCAGATCTCAATCAAAAGTGTACTTTCCTACGTTTCAAGCTTGATTTCACCATTATTTTCTAGCGAACTTGTAAATTTATTGTAAAATTGCTATCGGTCTACAATTTTGTGTAGTATTTTTGAAAATACCAGGGCAAATGCGTCCATAAGTTCTCTCAGGTGCTTAAAGCTAATCTCGGCGCGCTGAAAAGTCCAGGGTTGCCACAAAATTTAGAGAGTATAAAATTCCCTGACATTTCTCCGAGTTCCCTGACACATTTTAGCGAATTTCCCTGAGAATTGAAGATGTGACGGATGGTTAAGAAGGCATAATTGAAAATAGTTTTCAGGCAAAATTTGTTACTCGAAACCTCAAACCCAATTCTAGAAAGCAAATGAAGGTGATTTAACAAATTTTCCCCGAAATTTTCGTCATTTTTCCTGAAATTTCCCAGGTTTCCCTGACTGTTGCAACCCTGAAAGTTGCGTTCGGCGGCTGGAAGATGGAATTAAAAATTGGCAAACTTGCGGATTTGATTCACAATGTTGTCGTATATCTTAGTTTTTCCTATAAAATGTCAATTCAATCAACAAAGTCCGTGAAAAATAAATATTTATCGGTAGCAATCGGGCGACATTGGAACGCTCATGCGGCGCGGCGTTTTCCCGATGCACAGAGCACAGAGCACAGACCAAAACTCCCCGTGAACTTGGTTCTACGTTCGCGGTGCCGCCGTTGGCGCATTTCATTGTGCGATATATCGATTGATCTGCCATTTAAACCTATGGAAAAGGGTCGATAAACAAGGCGTTCGCAGCAAACACCTTAATAATCGATTCTTTACCATAGCCACAAATGAGGAAATACCGATAGTCGATCATTCACGCCACAATACTGCGGTACCGCCGTTTGCGATATACCGATTGATCTGCCATTTAAACCTATGAAAAAGGGTCGATAAACCGGGCGTTCGCAGCGAACACCTTAATAATCGATTCTTTACCATAGCTACAAATGAGGAAATATCGATAATCGATCATTCACGCCACGCCGCTGGTGCTAAAATGTCACGATCCGCGGATGCACGCTATAAAGTGCAACTTAAGTTGGTTCTGGGTTCGTGGTACCGCCGTTTGCGATATATCGATTGATCTGCCATCTAAACCCATGGAAAAGGATCGATAAACAGGGTGTTCGCAGCGAACACCTTAATAATCGATTATTTACCATAGCTTTAAATGAGGGAATACCGATAATCGATCATTCACGCCACAATACTGCGGTACCGCCGTTTGCGATATACCGATTGATCTGCCATTTAAACCTACGGA